TTGACTACTTAGCACGAAAAAGTAACTTCCATAATACCACTGCTAATTCATTTCCTTTTTTCTGTTAGTACAAATAGAAACAGAGCTGGCCACTGAGATACGTGGTAAGCAATTTAATTATAAAACAAATCGGTTACTGGAACTGGAGAAATTTGTAGACAGGTATGTGAAACATTCTATAACTGGATCAATGGGACCTTAACACCTGACCCAAATTAAGCCCTAACTTCCCAGTTATGGGTTTGTTTGTTTGTTTGTTTTTGAGAGAAAAAAGGTCAGAAATATATTGCCAAGATATAACTTGAAAAATAATTCTAAAATGTTGAAATTCATTAATCAAAGTAGAAAAATGTCTCAAATTCTAAGTCTAGTGTTTTATGTTGTGCATATAATTCAGCCCTCATGAGTAAAAAAATAAAACTTAAATGAGCACAGAGAATGGAAAATAATATTCTGAACACCATGGCCTAAAGGTTGTGTTTAGAGTGATTATGGTAATAAAATAAAGTTCTCTTATATGATTAAAAAAATTTTTTTTTAAACACAGCCACCAAATTCTAATATATGCTGGGGAACGCCAAATTATAAAACTGTTCACAATTATTTCACAGTTAACCTAAGTTATATTTATTCATAACTACATGCAATTAGATAAATTAAAAACTTTCATGGTTCATCTCTTCAGTATGTTGTATTGCTGGTGATCTGAAATTCTTTGGCAAATATATTTTTCAACAGTTACCAATCATTAAGCACTCAGTTGCTTAAGAGTAATTTCATAGTAGCAGTTTCTGCCCTCTAGTTGAGTAAAAATTGGTGCTCTGTGTGTGTGTGTCTGTGTGTCAAGTGATGCTTCTCAGGGAATTTGTTTGTTTGTTTGTTTGTTTGTTTTTTAATGTTAACATTAGGGTCTAAATCCCTTTAATAATTTTGCGGTTTTGCCAACCTTTTCAAGTGGAATGAGTTGACTGGAGATTTAAGTGCCTGGGATCTATTGCCACCTAGTGTTATGTTGCTTTCAGTTATTTCAAAGCTGAGTACATAAGGTTGGAACTGATTTGCCTCCTCCCAGGCCTGCCCCAGTGCCCCATTTCTGCCTCCATTTCAAAAAGTCACCAGGTATTGTCAGTGGAAGGTTTTTACATCTTTCTTTTTTAACAGTGCCAATCTAGCATTCATATTTATTCTGTTGGAAGGAAACTTTATGGCTCGAGTCAGCTTAATTGGCTCACCATATACTATCATTGGGCAAGTTATTTAAGCTCTGTGGGCTTCAATTTCCTCACAGGTAGAAATAGTAATGTCTATTTCATGGTTTTTTTAAATTAAATGAGTTATCATATTTAAAATGCTTATGACAATATTGACATGTGAAAATATTAAATAAATGTTAATTATTATCACATACCTTAAATCATGTTTGAGTCCTTAATAGGAATACAAGTGTTGAAACAGTCTATATTACTTATTTCATGGTCAGAAGGCAGAAGTTGGGTTCCTTATGACAACTTGGGCTGATTGTTTTGAAAGGTCTATTCCGGATTTAAATGTCCTTTGCAAATAATTTCACCCAGTCTGTGTGGCTTATCTTTTTATTCTCTTAATAGTGTCTTAAGCAAAGAGTAAGTTTTAAAATTTAAGTTCAGGTGATCAGATTTTTCTTTTATGGATTATTCTTTTGGTTTAATGTCTAAAAACTTTTTGCCAAATACCAGGTCATGAAGATTTTTCTCTTATATTCTCCTCTAATTTTTTTTTTTTATGTTTTACATTTAGGTCTATGATACATTTTGAGTTAATTTTTGTACAAGGCGTGAAGTTAGTGTTTCTTATCATCAAAGTCACTTGTAAATGTTCATTTGTTAATATTGATCTATAATAACATTTTGTGTATTTTATCTTTCAAAATGTCTTTTCACAGATAGGTAGTATCGAGTACTGCTATCAATCCCCAAACTTATGATTTTGAGTATATTTCTCACTAATAAGGCATTTATAGAATTAAATTGTTAGCTCCCTGTCTTGATATTTGCGTTTTAGCATGTCATTCATTATATTGAACCTTCAGCTGAAAGATAGGTGAAAGCTTTGCAATACTACAGTTAAATGGATTTTGAAATATGAAAATTTCCTTTGCACTTGTCTTGAAGTCTGAAAAACACTGCTGGAACTGTAGTTTGAGGTTGGAAAATATATCTGCTGCACATTTGTGTGGAGATCTCACTTCTTGTTTTAACTTTTGACAGCACAAAGTATATAAAGCAGTATAACATATCTTGTATTCAAATATTGTCATCAAAGTGACTTCAGCATCTTATAAGTTTCAAATATAAGTGGTGCTCTGACTTGTAATTCAAAGTTGAATTCCTTGACTTAAATTCATTAAGAAACATCAAGTCTGCAGCAAAGCTAATTTCCAAGACCATTCAGTGTTCGATAATGGTTGAGGGTTCTTCTCATTCAGAAATTTGAAATCTTGGTCCTGAAGTCAGCAAGTCTCAATAAAACTTAACCGCTGCCAAGCCATCAAACTGCTGTGTGGTAGGGCAAGTCAGGATATTTAGTTTCTATTTCTGTAAAAAATTAATGGAACTGATGATGTCTAAGTCTACAACAAATGAAGTACACCAGTGACATCATTGGTTCAATAACACATGGTATGTTCACATATTTTCTAAGTACTTGCTGGTAAATACAATGCATAGGCTCTAAACACCCTGTATCGTCACAAACTGTACATTTTTTTTTTTTTCTGTTCCACACATACTTTTATCACCATCGGTTGTGGCACATCTTGGAAGATTCCACTTCAGTTGTACTGAATGAATTTTTTCTCTACATTTTATGGAGGCTAATTCTTCCATCATTTCTAGGGTGATAAACTATCCGCATTAGCCTGGGACTGAGGAGTTTCCTGCAATTTGGGTCTGTGTTAAAACCAGTAATGATCTCAGCAAACCATCAATTGGTCACTCTAGCACTTCAAACTCGGTATTGACGTTTTGAGAAGTCTTGCTATGCATTTTAACTCTTTTAGAGCCAAGAAGAACCTTTAAAATCATTTGACTTGTTTTTAAATACTATTATGCTGCTTCCTTAACTCTTCCAGCAACATTCTGGCTGAAAGCCTGTCTCAAAAAGTTCATTTTATCTGGACGCATTCTTTAGCTGCTATAATCAAACATAATTTAGTCATCTTGTCATTGGTAAAGGGCTCTCCTTGCTTGGCTGACAAGCTGCTTAGAAACTTTAGTTACCCATCCTCATTGTAATTTTTCAGGTCAAGAAAGTGTGCTGAGACATTTCAATTAAAATATTCTAACTCTTCTGGCTGTTGCTTTCCCATGTTGAGAATGTTATGAAAGTGCTGTCTGGTAATGTCAACATATATTGTATTCTTTTAGCAAAGCCAAAGTGTCACTGTGATATAGACATAGTGCTTTGCAATCTGATTTGATAAAATAAACCACCCCACAGCAAGTATAATATTCAAAGTTCATTTTTCTTTTGACATGACATGCACTGGTACTAAAAATACATAAAATTCATGGTACCACAATACATGTGGCAATTGAAGTATGTCGCCCTAAAACCACATCACTGCAATTTGTAGAGCATGAGCAGCACTAAGCAATGAGAGGCCCACATATGGTCTCTACCACAACTCTTGCAGCAAATAAGCAATATATAAAATGTGGCTGTGTTCCAATAAATCTTTATGGACCCTGAAATTTGCATTTCAACATTGGCCTCGGGACAGTTGGTCACGCTGTGGTCCACAGGATGACCCACAATGTAGTTAGGTTTGGGACATGCAATTATTTCTGCCACACGCTTCCAAGTTAAGGAAAGCAGCAATCTGCAACAGTCACTGCCTAGAAGAGTTGCTGTTTCCCCAAATCTTATGTCTTTGAACAAGAAATAGCTTTTGCTATATTACAGAGACTTCAGAATTCATATTAGCACAGCCTATCCTAATTTTCCAAGCCTCATACATCAGTCATAGTGAACAGTTGCCATGGATAAGGCCACTGTATTCCAAATGTTGATAGAAAGCCTCATTTTGCAATGTGTCAAGCATTTATTCACTTGCCATCCCAGCTTACAGCTTGTGAAATGTCTGGCTCCAACTGAACCTTTGTGGATTTCATTTTGCCTTTACAGCTTTTGTTCCAATTATACATAACAGGAACATTTTTTTTTTTATTATTATTGACAGCAACACATTCTTATGTTTCCATATTAGTTTGGTATTTATCTTCCATTAAAAATGCATTTTTATGTAGTTGTGGTCACACTGCAGTTTGAATTATATCTTTTCTCTTTATTTTCTCCATATTACTACCAACATTTCATATTTTATTAAACAGGCTTCCACTCAATTCCAGCCTGATTTTTAACCCTATAAAATCTGAAAATCAAAACCACACCACCCCAATGTATTTTCTTCTAAAGATCCAAATCTAGTCCACAGAACAATATTATAATCACTTCAACTCTATGTAATACCCACGGCCATATGCTAAAGATGGGATTGGATCACCCCTTCCCAGCTCCAGTACATGAAAAAATACCTTAAACATGAAGTACTGACGAACGGTACCATGCCTGAATGGGGTGGGTGGGTGACAGGCTGGGAAGGAGAAAATATTTAGTGTATCTTACTATACATACTGAATGTGTTTAAGTGCACCTGCCTCTTGGATTTAAAACGAGACAGACTGCATTGATAAGTTTATCTGATGCTGTCCTAAAACTTACCTGTTCCCAGAAGGAGAAAGCAGAGGGACATCCAGATCTGTAAAGTTGAGAGATGATTAAAAAATGGAGGTTCTGTTATTCACTCAACAAATACATATTGAACATATTCTATGTGACAGATACTATTTTAGAGGTAAAATATGTGCTTTGTATACATTTAAAACCAATTGTTTTATATTTTGTATCAGAATACCTAGCCTGGTATCATATTAAAGATTTAACAAATATTGGATGAAAAATGTTTGTGGTAGTTTTTAATGCATCTGGATTAGTTAGTACAAAAGCACATTTCAAGGGCATCAGAAACTTAATAGTTGAGGTGAAAACCTATCATATTACTTTAAGACACCCAATCTCACTTGCATACAAATAAATTGTAGAAAAAGTTTATTCACTGGTCACTGTTTGAATCATGAAATACAATTCCACACTGATGATACTGATACAAAATGGTAGTTATTAATCCATGCTAACCTACCAAAAACTAATTTAACATTAGTTAAAACAATCATATACATGTATGAATCTTTATTAATTCTTGAACTGCCCTGTCACTCTCCATAATTTAACTTCCAGTTTCAACCACCTGAAGTCTAAAATACCCTTAGGGGTTAAATGTTCATGGCCTAACACAGAGAACTATGTAGACAGTCAAGCAAGATTTTGTTCTATTTGATATCAACAAAGACTGCAGTTTAGTACTTAAACCTGCAGTTAATGGTGACCCTTACCCAAGCAGGTAACCAAACACAGCTATGAAACCTGAAAAGCAAACTAGAAGAGACTGGAAAGAAGAGGCAGCATGAGCCCAGCTGCCAGCTGGTATGCACACCTGTATTTCAGCTGGGCGCAAGCCAAAATTACTGCTTTCCTAACTTGAACCAACAGTGTTTCTTCCCATAGTCTTGTAAATAGTTGTAGTCCATTGTATCTAGTTAAATACAAAAAAAAAAGCCCTCATAATAAAATCACATTTTCCAGAAGTATTATATACACAGCACATTCAGAATCATTGATTGCTTTTTCTTCGTCGTTTTTTCCTTGAACGTTTAGGTAGCTCAGTCTCTTGTGTTTCTTCTTTTATGCCAGATGAGGGCTGTTTGAAAACGATTTCGTTATCTTTATCATCATCATTCATTTCAGCCGCTTCAGATTTTCGTTTCTCCAAAAATGTTGGTGTACAAACTGGTGTGGGGCCCTGTATTCAACAAAAGAGTACAACACATAAATGTGGGAAGATTTGAGGAATGACTTCAATGACCCCCTAATATCTCCCCACTAATTTTACAAGTTGTGGCATGTTAGTTTAAGCCTGTTTTCATCTTTCCGTGATACAACTGCACATAATAAAGAGCTTAGGTGCTCATCAAACTTAGTATGAAAATTCCCAATTAATTAGAATATAATATGCTCCATTATAGAGCATGAGGTAGAAAACTCTAACCTTACATTTATAAAAACAGTGGCTTCCTTTCTCCTTACTTAGTCACTCTGCCTAAGAGGTAAAAACTGCAATAAACTCACAATGATAACTTTTGCTAATAAGCTCCTTATGTTTGCTAAACTCATTAGGTTAAATTTGAAATTTTAACAAAGTGACAGTAGCAGAAACTACTTTTCCTCTTTTGAATTATAATACCTGATTCTCAGAATATTGAAGACAATTTTACCTGGCTATCCACAGTCTTCTCAGGAGTATCAGGGGTGACTGAAACCTCTTTTTTCTTCTTCTTAGGTAAAACCTTCAATAGATTTTAAGAGACCTCATCAGTCTGTGTATTTATCAGCTATAATAGTCTTGAATATATTTTCCCACTTATCTTTTGCACCTGGCATGTAATATAATCAAGAAATCTTACCTGGCTATTTCTAGATTTCCGAGGTTCACCGTTTGAAGCATTGTTTTTTTCTTTTTTATGTAAAATCTTAAGTAAACATAAAGAAGTTATAAACTGCAGTCTCACATTTACATTTTTAAACTTACCATTAGATCATTACACATATAATTAGTAAATCCTCCTAAATGATAGAGCATTTCAATTTAAAAAGCAAAATCCACAAATACTGTGATGTTAAAAGGGCGAAAATAGAAAAGGGGCCTAATTGAGGAATGGGCAGAAAGCTGGAGCTGGCCTACAGAATCCTGCTTCAGTGTCCCAGCTCCTAAATGGTTTCTGAGTACCAGCAAGGACTGTGACATAATGCTTTTAAAAAACATACTGTTAAAAACTATGTTTGGGATTTGGGCAAAGAATTAACAACCCAGAACTGGGCCAAAGGAGGGTAACTCAATTTTGTAGCTTCTGGGTAAGATTAAAAGACCTAATAAACTTAGGAATAGGTGCCATCTTACCAACAAATTAGCTTTTTGAAACTAGCCACACCTTAATGACCTGCATTTTTGTTTTGTAGAAAAGACACATAGCTCTCCTTACCATGAAAGAGGGAGGAAAGATTCAACAGGCAAAGATATAAAACTTAGATGAAGTCTGTGCTAACTCATTTACATGTAAGCAAGCTTGCTGTATTTCAATCCCTGCTATTTAATTCAAGAGATGATACATGCTGGTTAAATCTGACATACGCTTTAAGAATATTTCTAATTTAAAAGAACACCAAACAAAATTTTAAATAGAATGGCATAAAAAGGATGGTCATATTATAGTCTTGATGTTTACTGACAGGGTATAATGAACCAAACATTTAATTCTGGTTAACATCATCTTCAACAGCAATCTACGAGCACTATGGTTTTTGGTTAAATAGTGGTTTAACATTAATAATTTAAAAACATCATGAAAATTTTGCAGATAAGCTAATCCCTTTCTAGAATTTCCTATTCCATATAATTGAGATAATTGGATCTGCTTTGACAAACTTTAAGAACCTACAATGCAATGTTTCAAAAATTCAGTCAAACCCTAGTATGTGATAAGCACCAGGCTAGATACTTTATATATAAAGTGAGATACGAAGCCCACCTGCAAGAAAAAACACAAAAATATATTCAATAAAGGAATATTTACCAATGAAGGAAAATCATAATCAATTCCTTTCTTAGCTAATTTCTTCCTGAGTAATTTTTCTTTCTTCTTAAATCGCTCCTCCATCCGTAGCTTTTGAAGAATTGTTCGGTTCTGGTTATATCGTTTCACTGCTGGATATGATGGCTTCTTAAATGGAATATGCCACTCTCTAAAAAGTTCCTCATGTATTTTCTCAGGTGGCATAACATGACCTAAATAAAAAAAGGAAAAAGTTTCCAACCGAGTGGAAAGGAGATGTTAACTTTATAATTTCCCAAGTGTTGTTCCTCACATCATAATCAAGATGAAGTGTCTCCTGTCTATAAGAAGCCTGAAGAATAAAGCAGGCACCCAAAAGAAAGTCATACAGTCAGCAAGTACTTACTGATCATGTACTGTGTGCCAAGAACTGTTCTAGGAGCTAGGGATATATAAGTGAACAAGATGAGTAGTATAAAGGAGTCTTGGTTGCCTCAAGCCTCTGGGGTTCCTGAAGCTAAAAGGATCCCTACTTAGACTGTGTGAACTGCTGTAGCGGAAGCTATCACTTTCCAGCTCTGATCTTCAGGGCGCCTCTCCGGGACTAAGGCAACATACTGCTTATCTGCATCTCTCTGTTTAAGGGCCTGTTTCTGGCTGTGGGAGCACACTGGGTCTATAGGAAAGGCAAGCCCAAACTCCTGGAATCAACCCTCAACCAATAATGGACTGGGAGTTGGTAGATACCCCAGTTCCCTTGACGTCAGTTGGAATAATTCTGTCTCCCAGTGTTACACAGCAGGATAGAGCCCAGTTGCCTAAGCAGTTAACTTGCTTACTAATACCCTTGATTGATGTCCTTCCCCTCTGTCTTACTTCTCCACTCTCTACTAGTATTTTCCTGGGATCATCTCCAAAATAAACTACTTTTGCTCAGAAAAAAAAAATATGGCTTATTTCATTCAGATCAGAGTTCAGAACTCCTTTGTGCTACCCTTCAAAAGTAAGATACAACACAGCACTGATCCTACACTGTAGTCCTCTGATATCTTTTAAGTCACCTACTCAGCCCATTTCTTCCTGGCAAGAGCCATGTTTTTAATGTGAGAATAAATCCATGACCTCAACAAGGTTACTGGGATTCTCTCACAGCAACAGAGATAGAGATGCTACTTGGGCAGCCTCAACAGCTGCTTGAATTGATGTATGTGACTTGGGAACCTGGGATAGGCACACTCCACAACGAGCACAGGGAGGCCAGAAACTTAACTTGGCCTCCGAAGAGCACTGGGATCCAGATCGAGATGTTGGGATGCAAAGTCAACGGCTCTACTCTCTGTATTATAAGGCCTTCAATAACCCAATGTTCCCTCATCTCTTGCTATTTTTCTCATATTCTCTCATAGGCAAATATTGTTAGTCATCTCTAGCCAGTATCTCAGTCTTCACTCCCTTACCCTGAACCTGAATTCATTTCTATTTAATCTTCAGATTTCAATCTAAATAATACTTCCTCAGGGATACCTTCTGCATCCCACCGAGGGGGGTTAGCTACTCTTCATATGTACTCCTAAAGTGACGTGTCCCAATTCCATTTCAGAATAAAAACAGCTCTCACCCTGGAAGATTTAAAAATTCTAATTAGGATCTGTCTGGAAAATGCACTTAAATTTTTGCACCATTCCTTAGAGAGAATCATCCCAGAGATGAAGTGGGATGTCCAAGCAGCTAAGCAATCTGTCCTTCAAACCGCGGCCACCCAGCAGCAGCAGGCATCCAGGCAACCCTAAGGTAAGATAAGAGAACTTACACTTCAAGAGTCTTTCACCAAAAAGGTAGTTGTTCATTGTTTCAGCAACTATCTTGGCAACATCTTCGGATTCAAACTCTATGAAGGCATAGCCTCGGCTATTTCCAGTCTGCAATTAAAAAACCCACCACGAAAACTACAATGATTAAACTTTAAAGCATCATTAAACTCCTAAAATGCCATTAATTCAAATAATGTACACTGGCCTCATTAGTAAATAACATTATAGTACCTTTAATTCCACTGTCAACTCACAAAATGTGGGGACTGTTGTGGGAAAAGAAAAAACTGAAAATAGGCTGAACATGCCACAGATTTTGAGGTATTCCTGGGATTTTGATTACAGGATAAATGCATTTTTTAACAAAAATTTTATATTAGTTTTGGGTATACAGTACATTGGTTAGACATTTATATAGAATACATTTCTACAATTGGAATTTATTCAACAGCCAGCTACACGCCACAGTGTACAGAAATCTGGTAGGGTCCTACAGACCTTTACTCATTATCCATCTCATTGTCAGTCATATTGTTCATGTGGTAACAATACCCAGGAGATAGTAAGATGCTTCACAAGAAATCAGATAATATAATTCTCATTTTATATGTAAGCACTGAAAAGTAATTTCTTTTCAGTCGCCTCAATGTCTCCAACCTAATCAATAAACTATTGCATTCATTTGCATATTTACCCATGACTGGTCACCTAATTGGGGGCAAAGGAATAGTGCCAATATTTCTCTGAAAAGCCACCCTGGGTTCCTGACTTCCACACAACATAAAGTGGATTTTCTCACTTATCTTACTAGAAAGAGTTCTAGAGTCCAAATGCCTAGGTTTGGATCCTGGCTCTGACACTTACTTGGGTAAGTAATGTTTAAGCCTCAGTTTTTCATTCTATAAAATGGAGGATAAAATAACCACTTTCATAGGGTTGCTATGAAGATATGAAGTAATCCATGAGTGCCCCACATGATGTCTGTCAAGTACTCAAAAACTGTTACTGTAGAGTGGCAGAACATACCAATCCACAAACATGCTACTTTGGCATAAGGATTGCTCTGAGTTGAAGATAAATGAAAAGTAGTTAAAAGAAAAGTTCTGTCCTCTCTCTAATTGCCTAAAAGCAGAACATACACTTTCAAAGGTGTTTTCTCTCCTCTCTACCAGAAAAACAAAAGTTAGAGAAATCTACATAATAAACTTTATGAACTAGACTTTATCTTTAGTTTCCCATGTATTTGCCTCCTTACAATTTACAGCCCTAGAAACTCAAAGCCCTTTTTCTTCGTCCTGTCACTTCTCTAAAAATTTATTGTTCCTTTGCTAAGATGCTACATAGGCCCAGGTTCTAACTAACCCTGAGTTATTCATTTGAGTGCTCCCATGTGTAAACATACTTCTGTCTGCTTGTTAATGTCTTTTGTCAGTCCAATTTGCAGGGTCCCATCCAGAGAACCTTGTAGGGTAGTAGAAAGAAAATTCTTCCTCCCTTACGGTTCTAATTATTAGGGACAATAACTAGAAATAGTTTCTAATCTGGCATTATACAACGTATTTTAGGATAGAGTTAAAAATTGGTGATGTGATTCTGGACATAAGAAACCACTTAAAAAGGTTCAGAGCTTAACATAGGAGGAGCCAGGGGGCTCATATCTACCAACTAGCAACTTGGACACGCCCACAACTCTAAGTCTCAGTTGTTATTCTCAACAGAGGATTTTGATAAAAATTTAAATGTCTGACTTTTTTTTTTTACAATCCCAACTCTCAATAGGGACGGGAAAAATGGTGGAGCGAAAGAGACACTATGAAATCTAACTTAACGTACCACATTGTAAACTGACATAAACCTTTTTAAAAGTGACTTGAAAATATAGGTTGAGTCTAAAGAAATAAAAACAATCTTTACCTGGTAATCCCAGAATGTTGGAAATACTAAGCAGACAGTCAAAACTGGGGAAGGTGGTATCTTTACTATGCAACAATGCTGAAAATGACAAATTTTAGTGCATCTCCTAAAGGAGCAGGCTTTCTTTAAGACAACTGGCTTGAACTCTTTTAAAAAAGCCAATGTCAAGAAAAACAAAATTAAGCAAAAAAGGGCAAGGAGACTATTCTAGATAGGCTGAAAAGCTATACTGAAAGCAATCTATGAACCTTAACTGAATTCCAGAACGGGTAGCTACAGACATTTTCTGACTATTGGTGATATGTGAAGATGGAGAGTACATGTTAGACTATTATATTGTGGATATGTATGAGAATATCTTGATTCCTAGTAGATTTACAATAAAGTACTTAGCATTAAAGTATTACAACCACTACTTTCTTCAAAATTTAATGCCTGTGGTTTTATGACAATTAGCGGATTACCCTATCCCTTCATCTACTAAATCAAATACAAAATTTAACTTTGATCTGTTGTAATTCATATGAGAAAATGTGGAAAAACTATATTCCCCCCCTCCCCCAGAGATTCCAACAATGAAAGATCTCTGTGGCGACAATCAATAAAAGTATATGTGTTCAGGAAGAAAACAGAATGGGCCACTCTATTACTGAAACAAACCACATAAACTTTTTAAAATTAGAATGTAGAGATGTAATAACAATAACACACATATATAGTGTTTACTGAGTATCAGGCATTGTTCTAAAAACCTTACATTCATTATTTCATTTAATCTTTGATTAGACACTCTTAGGAGGTTGGTGCTATTTTATACTTATATGACTCTAGTGTCTGTATTCTTTCCTTCCTTCCTTCCTTTCTTTCTTTCCTTCCT